TAACTCACCATGGCAACAATATTTGACATGGGGCGTTTATATTTTTGTTAAGTGTGTATTATTTACAAAAAAATATAAAATAGAACAATCAAATACAAAAAAATACAAACAAATTATACCTTTTCCCCCAGTGTCCATAAGTGGCGTTAAAACCACAGTAATTCAAAGTTCTGTTCAGCTTGGGTCTACAAGCATGAAGTTTGGCTTGGCTTACACATGCAAAAAGGGAAAAAAGGTAGGCTTATACAGTATACACAAGCAATACTATATATGGTGACTTGACTTGGCTCCACAAGCAGTAGATTCATGTGTGTCAAGATTTTACTTAACACAGATAAACAATGGAAAAGAAAAATACTCCCACAAAAACTCACACACACAAAAACTACACCCATACACAAAAACTCCACATCCAGGAGCTAAAACACACTGAAATAATACAATTAATATTTTTACATTGAAAAGTAATTTCAGTAGATTAAAACATGAAACAGAATTACTTTTAGACGAGTGTGTTTTTAGGATGGCTGGTGTGTTTAAGGGTTTTAAAGTTTACTGAAAGAAAACAAGATAATTGGTTCTCTTTAGTTTTTTTCAGCTTTACATTATTTATACATTAATTTTAGTTTAAGTTTGGTGGGAGACTTACATTTGTTTGTTGTCTAACAGAATGTCGCGTCATCGGGGTGCGCGAGGGTTTCTCCTGCTTTGGGGAAGGACGTGACAGGGACAAAGCTTTTCCGCGTCATTTCCTGCAGTTTCTTTATCTTTGTTTGGTTCGGCTTCGGCTGTTTATTTCCACAACTCCACGATTTGAAAAGAAGTTGTCCTCTGAGGGATTAAACACCTCGTTGCGAGTTTAGGAAGCTGCTGCTCACTCGGACTCTGTCAGTGAGCGAACGAACACACTGACTGTGCGTGGGCGGCTTTTGAAGGTGAGTCACTGTGGCTTTACGCAGGTGATCACAATACATACTAATTAAACAGAGGTGGAGACAGGTGCAAGCAATAAAGATAATTATGTGCAACTCCAGGTTGCCACAACTGAAAATAAGTTAGCCCACATTTTAAATCTGGGCCCTAAAGAGTTAATGCTCCTGAGACGTCTATGGTCTCTCTCTCCCTCTCTCTCTCTCTCTCTCTCTCTCTCTCTCTCTCT